ACCATGTAGCGCAAGCCGTCACAATGATCACTGTCTCTGTTCACCACTCATCTTGCATCACTCTCTCGAGCTTCTTGGCCTGTTCGAAGTTTGTTGAGCATGCGAGAGTCTCAGACACATAACACTCTGCTGACATCTTCAGTGAGGGTACCAATACTGGCAGTGAAAGTGACCAAGATGGAAAAGATTGCACAGCCCCAAATGCCAGTCTTTCAGATTCAGTCGTGCAGCTCTACTCTAATCACGGTGAACTGTAATGGCGCGGGAGGCTCGCCATATGGCGTTTTCCGTACACTAGCCACCGCACGAGGCAGTTTTTGATGAAGAACGGTGAGCTTTCCTCAAAGTTAGACGGATGGCTCCATGCACAATCTGCAACGCACCACAGGGAAGAAGGGCCAATGAGACGTGGCGTATTCAGTGATCTATTGTGCCATGGCAATGCGGAAGCCCACTCTGCAAGCAAGAGTATGGTCTAGCAGTCAAGCTATACATCGTGTCTGCCAACTGTGGGGCCATTTCGTTTGAACAGAGTTCGCCATGCGTGAAAGGCGACCAAAAGATAAACCTGTACGCCGTGAACATCTCGCTGAGACTCGGGGCCAGACACAATCTGATGCAGACTCCAGCTTTTTGGATGAACACGTCCCAGTTGTGCTCGACCAGTGTTGACCGGAGGTAAAGCTGGAGAAGTTCCAGCTTTACCTCCGGTCAACGCTGGTCGAGCACAACTGGGACGTGTCCATCCAAAAAGCGTCTGCATCAAATCGTGTCTGCCCCCGAGTCTCAGCGAGATCTATCTCTGTGGTGGACCGAGGTATCCAGCAACATCTGCAAACCAAATCCCAAGACTGCGAAGTGTTCAGGTACGTCGATGATTATCTAATCATTCACCATAACCACACAACTCCAGAGGCTATCATCGAGGCATTCAGCGCTTTGCATGGGCATTTAACATTCAAGAGGGAAGACCCCACAGAAGGCGAACTGTAGTTCCTGGAAATTCGCCTCCAACCTTCCGAAAAAGAAGTGTGCTGGTCTTTCCAACAGCGTACAACCAAGCCGGTGCGCTTCCATTCTCAAGTGCACACTCAAAAAACGTAAAATCCGGCATAGTCAGGTGCCTGCTTTCCGCGGCATACACAAAGTCTTGCGCCCACCAACGGGAGGCCAGCTTAAGCCAACAGTGCGCACGGCTTCGGAGGGCAGGCTACCCTGCAGATTTGATTTTGACTACCTCACAAAAATTGGCTACAAACCCCCTGCCAGGCCAACCGCCGAGACTTCACCCGTCTTCAGAAGACCAGCCTGTATTCTATACATCCACACAACATCTCACAGCCTAAGAGCTCTTGCCTCAAAATACGACACAAAAGTACTTTTCAAGTACAAATCGAGACTCAGTGACATGTGTAGGGCCGTCAACAGAGAGGGACCCTCACAACCCCAGCTGTACCAAAAAATACGCAAGGAAGTTCACCGTTAGCATGATGAAGAAAGTGTACGCGATCCCCCTGTCCTGCGGGGCCAGGTACATCGGGCAAACGGGGCGATGCCTCAAGGACCGACTGTGAGAACATCAAATGGACGCTGAAAGAGCTGCTTCGGATTCTCAGCACCCGATCGCCATTCATGGGAAAAAATGTCCTGGCTGCGCTCCTAATTTTGCCGGCACGACAACCATGGGAGGCCACTGCGAGCGAGTCAGGAAAGAAATAATTGAGGCCTATTAGATGGCGACAAGCCCACAGACCATAAGCACCCCTTCCATTTCGCTCTTAAGAAAGGAGATTACCTTTCTGAGGCCCACAATGGAAGCCGAACGCTGACAGACTAGGCAACGCGACAAGGTCACCGGCAGAAGCGGCCTTTCCTTTCATTCTGTTATCCCGCACCTACTGTCGAGCCACCCTCCTCTCCTCTCCCTTCTTTGTTTGGCAACCTCCTCCCTTTCCTCTCCTTCCCCCAAGATTTCCCTTTCCCGTACTCCCACGAAGCGGGGCGGGCTTTGAGCTTGAAGCCGAAAATAAGTGTTGTTGAAGTTGAAAGATTGTCCTGCCCGTATCGTCCCTTATGTGGCTCCACTTTCTAAATGGGTATTTGCTGTATAAAGTTTCTTGGGGGAACACACATATATATAATTTTAAAATAGTTGGGTTTGTTTGCTTTCTAAAAGTTATACGACTTGTGGTATAATTTGCCTGTGGCGTTTTAAAAGTTAACGGGGTTGTACCGAAAGGGGAAACCTAAGAGTGTCAGGGAATTTTAAGAATCTGCAAAATGAAGGTGATGTTAATGAAACCCTTGTGTTGGCCAAGCCAGGGAAATTCACAAATTAAAGCATTACGACAGTGTGCCACAACGCACTGATCGTCACATTACTCAAAGCATCACAAGACGTCGCAAGCTACTATTAAACAGACGGGAAGCACCACTGTGTTTCCAGCCTCTAGCAGGGACGATGAATAGAACGATCTTCTGGCTCCTGGTTTGTCGGACCTCGTCGGTGGACACTTCCACCTATGTGTGACCTGTGCTTCACACACATAGTTGCTTTAGACCTTCTTTTTCTGTAGTTGTGTCTTCAAAGTGAAAATATGTCAGTCAAGTCTCCACTGGAGGCTTTTTCCCCGATGCTCCTTCATTTATTTTAAAAATGAAATTATTAACAATATTGTTGTTATTATTACCATCAATATTATTATTGTGATATTGCTGTCGAAGAAGCCTTTTAAAGGGAAACTCCGCTTCATTTTCTGCTGTGAGAAAACAATGCAACTCTCTTTATTATCATCTAGAGAGACCGCATGTCAAGTATTAGAAAGTAATTCAATCTAAAAGACCGTTAAACCGGCCAACAAAGACTATGATGCCCGAAGACACCAAAATCCGCTAATTTAGCGGGCGACGTGCTGCGCAGCAAACAATGTATTTCCGTTTCCGTTGCTGACGTCTGTTACATACGTTTTGTTTTCTTGGTATTTTCTTTTCTAAGGAGCGCCTCCGCCGCTACCGGTACCGGCGCGCTGCGCTGCCTCGGCTCTGGCTTCGGCCCACTGGCTCGCTCTGGCTCCTCTGGCTCGGCGCAGGCAGGCGGGCAGGCCGGCAGGCAGAGAACAGAGAGCCGCGTGCCTTTTTACAGTTTGCGCCGTGGTGTGTGCGGTTTCGACTGTCTCCGATGCCTGGGGCGCAAGCCCCCGCGGTTGTTGCCGCGTGGGAAGTCAACCTCCACCTGCTCGTGGTGCGCCCTGCCAGCTTTATTGCTGCAACGGAGGCTCTGGCGAAAACCCCCACACCTGGGATGGGGAACCCTAGCACTGGGGTTCCGCATGTGGACGGGGGGGACAAAAAGGGCCTGGGAACCCTAGCTTACCCCATGGAAGCGGAGCCACTGAGGCGGGGTCCATACCAGGGGAAGCTATCATAAAGGTGGTGCCCCTCGTAACTTCCCACGTAGGGAGGTGCCCCCGCATGGTGGCGGGGGTGATCTCCAGGGGAGCCGAGGGATATAAAAGTGATCACTGATCGGCGGGGCTGGATGGTTCATGGTTGCCATTCAGTGACCGTCGGACCCGCTGTGAGACGCACTCATGTCTTAGTAGCGGAGCCGGACAGTGAGTCGAGCAAGTGGGTACTTTTAGTACCACTGGTTTTCCCGGGCCGTTCCACTGGCTGTACAATACAATAGTTGGTTTCATTTATAACCCCTTAATTCCAATTGGCTTTTTCCTGAAATTTTCACTTGATCACATGATCCTATTCATTTTTATTGGAATTGGGTTAAGCCTGCGGTGCGAAAGCGGGAGCGGGCAGGGGACAAGTTTTTCTTAAATTTTTTACAAGAGCCCCGACTCAAAATCTGTCTCCGATGCCTGGCGCCTTAGGTGTGATGGCCGGTAAAGGGCGGAAAGGCAGGGGCACGCGATGTTGTGTCGCCGCCTGTTCTCGCTGCCAGCTGAGCAGCCCGGGAGTTATTTTCCATTCGCTTCCTGCCGACACTGAACGCCGGAAACTGTGGACGGACGCCGTGCACCGATCGGGTTGTGAGAAGCCCCTGTCGCCGACGGCCCGGTTATTAATCTGCTCCGATCATTTCTTGCCGGAGTGCTATGAGCGAGATTTGCGCTCATTAGCGGACACTGGCTTCTCGACAAAGTACGCGAAGTTGAAGACAGACGCCGTGCCATCCATCTTCCCTGGCAGAGCATCTTCCGAAGACAGCTCATGCGTGAAACGTCGTCGGACCCGAGTACGTACATTCGTCGGTTACTTAGTGCGTACTCAGTGCTCTCGAAAGCGCCAACACGTTGCATCGTTTCAGCAGAGTGCGAGAGATGACTGCGCGCATTGCCGCACTGCGCGCATTGCCGGCAAGATTGGAAGCGCAGCTCGCTTTTCATCTCTGGCTTCGCTCGCACTTCCGCTGAAACCGCACCGTCTGGCATGCGTTTGTACCTGTTCTATAAAAACCATGCGCGCTATAATCAGGAAACACAGTGAATATCCTCTTGTGAAACAGCTGTGGAGTTTCAAAATGAGCTATATGGAGAAACTAAAACGGCCAAGTTTTGCTAAAACTGATTGTTTTTAAATGTAAGGAAACTAAAGTGGGTAGGTTATACGAGCAATACCACTGTAGTACATGAGGCAACAGGCCCAAGGCTAATCTGTTGAGCAAACAGTCGCTTTTGCCTCGTTTTCTCTTGAGGTACATTTGAGTCATGAAAACAACAAAAATAACTCCGCACTTGAAACCAAAAAACAAAATATGGTTTTCAAGATCCAGTTTTACGAAATTTCTTTTATCAAATAAGGGATCTACAGGAATTCTCAATAGTTTTATGGCTAAAAAGTTCACACAGAAAATGCATTGAATTAGTACTGTCTATGTTGAAGTTTATTTGAACTGCTTCTGCACTTCCTATAAAGCAGGCTTTTATAGGATTTTGAGTTTCATGGCCAAATGAAGAGTACTAAATATTGTTTGATTGCGTTCACAGAGTGGAGACCAAGATACAGCTAGGCAACTCAGCAGCACAACCTTGGCACATGATGGTTTGCTGGCAGGCACTACACTGGACGACGCCTCTGACAGAGGCCCAGAAGCGCTGTCGTCGCAAAGTGAACCTGCTAGCCTCCACCTGGATCCACTTGGTGTAGAATGCCCAATCCCAGTATGTATTTTGGCCTACATTGTTAGTGGTGTTTGGTGTGCCTGCAGATGCTATCACTTGGTGCACCACTCTTACAGGAAAGAGACCGAGCATGCAAGAGCCACACATTGGCCACGGCAAGGGAAACTCTGCATTTGGATGTGTCGCCCAATGATGCCTCCGAAAAAGACCGAGACCATGAGGCATCACATAGTGGACCTTCTGTCATCCAAGTGGATCCAGCTAGTGCAGAATGCCCAACCTCAGTATGTATTTTGACCTACATTGTAACGTGCTGTTTGGTGTGCCTGCTATCACTTGGTTCACCACTCTTACAGGAAAGGGACCGCACATGCAAGAACAGCACGTTAGCCACAGCAAGGGAAACTTTGCATTTGGATGCGTCGCCCAGTGATGCCTCCGAAAAAGACGGAGCCCACGAGGCGTTGCATAGTGGACCTTCTGTCGTCCGAGTGGATCCAGCTAGAGCAGAATGCCCACTCCCAGTATGTATTTCTGCCTACATTGTTACGTGCTGTGTTTGGTGTGCCTGCAGATGCTATCACTTGGTGCACCACTCTTACAGGAAAGGGACCGAGCCACTTCAGTGGCGTCGCAGGTTGCAAGCTCGAGTGAACTTACGTGCGTGTATGTCATCCGGCCACCCACATGCAGTACATGGAGCCAGACATGTTCAAAAAGGCTAATAAAAGGTGCCTGCACAGTAAGAATTTTGAAGAATGTATCCTAAATATCACGATTTTCATGTTCCAGGTACACAGACGCCAAAGTCTTGGTATGTCAGCAAAGGCATACAAACAGAAAAACCTTCGCAAACATTGGTTGAAATTCAGGCGTCGACCACATCCTCCGGTATGTGATGCAGTGTCTTTACATAGGCTTACATTTGAGAGAAGAGATCATAACTGAATTTCATTTGCAATGCACTTTTGTTGCAGATGCATTGCACAGCTGTGTTCGTTCCGAGGACGAGTCCGTTTCGGAGGTGGCAGGCCCAAGTCCCCTGGGAGATGAGACCGGTGCCCCAGGACATCTACAAGCAGCAGAAGGAACTCAGGGTGAGCACTTACACGAAATTGGAACAAAACAATGAATAACTGTCTCTATGCTTATTCCTACTGTGTAGCAGAAGCAACCTTCGCACAACACGAGCAGCCACTTCAGCGGTGCTCTACGCCTATTAGTGGCACAGTCCCCAGCTCTTTGGACTTGGACGGCACTCCTCAGACTTCGCAGCCCGACACCGATCCTGTGGACATGAGCGATGAGGAGAGCGACTCTGAGGACATGTACAGCGATGCCCTGGACACCAGCTATCGGCCAAATGATTCGATCGACTCAGATGAGGAACTGGATTCTCCAGACACCAGTCCCTGGAACGACTCCGTGACCTCGGATGATGAAGGACCTGATGCGTATGTGCTCACTGTACCTTCTCGAAACCATAATTTTATGCTACAAATAGGATATAGCTTTGATGTTCTGGATTTCGAGTGTTAAGTCCTAAATGATCACCTAACACAGGGGCTTCAGAAGTATATCTGATGCGTGGGGGCAACATCCGGGGGCTCATGTTGCATCGTGTAGTTCACCTCTCTCTCTCTCTCTTTATATATACACCGGGTGATTCAAGGAGACGGCAGGCTCTTTAAATCGACCGGAAAATTCGGTTTCCTAACCTATCGCGCTACGACTTTGTGCAGCGTTGCCCACAGATGGTGGATTTTTTTTTGTAAAATTTGCGAAGAGCGAACTTACCTGAGGAAAAAGTCAAGAAAGAAAAACGCTTAGCTCCTATGGAAACGCAGCGACGCCACCGGTCTTCAAACAACACGGTGCCGTTTCGCACGGGACACAAGAGATGACGCAACGAACGAGCGTTCGGCGCCAAGAGCCGGCCTCTTTAGCAGACAATCTTTTCGACTCAAAAGCGGCGCGCGTTCCGCGGGCGGCAGTTGGCGTCGCGACCGTTTGCGCCATCTCTTGTGTCCCGTGCGAAATGGCGCCGTGTTGTTTGAAGACCGGTGGCGTCGCTGGGTTTCCAGCCTTTTTCTTTCTTTACTTTTTCCTCAGGTAAGTTCACTCTTTGCAAATTTTACAAATACAATGCACCATCTGTGGGCAACGCTCCACAAAGTCGTAGCGCGATAGGTTAGAAAACTGAATTTTCTGGTCGATTTAAAGAACCTGCCGTCTCCTTGAATCACCCGGTATATCAACAGCAACTGACGAAGCACAGTGCAGAAAAATGAAGGCTGCAGTCTGATAGAATCTTTGGAGATTGATTAGTGAGAACGCACATATTGGACAAACAATGAATGACAACTTCAAACGAACGGATTAACAAGGCTTCCAAAGAAAGAATACATGTCATTAACTACTGATTAGCTTGCTTGTGGCACCTCGTCGTCTATGGAGTGCAGCCTGCTTCAACAGCCTTACGGGTGGTGAGAGGGGGGGGGGGGTCGGAACAGCTTTTAGGGTGGGGGCATGCCCCCTGTGGTGTAGAACCTGTGGGGGCAACTGCCCCCCTGGTTCCGGAGCCCCTGACCTAACAACGAGCGAAAGCGTAGAGGAAATGGAAAAAACACAGCTTCTGAAGCAAGTTTTAAATGCACTGCTTGTTTTGTTTTGCAGAGAGTGCAGCACCTCTGCCACGACCACCAACCCCGTGAAAGAAAGGAAGCTCATCGTCTGCGCTTCAATGCTCCTACAGTTGCTTTCGGTCTGTAGGGAATGCTTGGCTCCTACAAATACAAGTTTGAAGGAACGGGGGACCTTGCTGCATGCCGTGACTGTGTGTGTAAGGGGCCACAAGACTGTCTGGGAAAGCCAGCCCAGGATTAATGGGAAGGCATTGATGAATCTTCTCCTACCCGCCGCCATTACATTCTCTGGGGCCAGTCCTACACGAGTTATTCGTCTCCTGAGCTCTGTAGGTGTTGCCGTTCTTCAAAAGAGCCAACTCTTCCTGATTCAAGGCTGTCTGGTGTTCCCTGCCGCTGCAAGGGTGAGTTCACCTGCCTAGAGAATTGTTGGTTAAACATGTATCTCTTTGTGTTGAGATTGATGTCATATTTCTGTATTTCAAAGGTATGGAAAGAAGAGCAGACCACCCTCCTTACAGCGATGCGTGGCAGCAAGCTTCACCTGGCAGGCGACGGCCGTGCCGATTCTCCCGGCTACTCGGCGAAGTATGGCACGTACACGCTGCTGGAAACAAACATCAACAAAATCCTACACTTCGAGGTTATCCAGGTAAGAACTGGCTAAGTAGAAAATTGCCTACTTCGATTGAGTTATTTATCTTGCTACCTTTCGTTTATAACTAAGTAGAATATTTGTTTGGGTATTGTTTTATGTAGAGTTGTGCGAATATTTGAATAGTAGTTTCGAAAGATACGATATTCGATATTCGCTTCGACATGAACTGGACTATTCGCGTTTTTCGAAGTCTTGATTGCGGCGGGTTAGCTCCGTTGAGTGCACTTCTTACCGAGCATCAGTGCACTAGCAATGCCCGCGGAAGCGAGCTCCGCAAGTAACGCTTCTCTGCATTGCATCTGTGCTCGGTAAGAAGCGCACTCAACGGGGTAACCTGCCGCAATAAAGACTTTGAAAAGTATAAATATCGCAATTGCGTGCTTGGAAGAAAAGCATACATCAAAGCGGGATGGTGCACGCGTGCCGGCTGTATTTGAAAATAAATGGAAAATTTGTGAATGTGTATATCTACATTGTAGTAAAAATTTCAAAATTAAACAGACTGTTGTGCAAGATTATAATATGTTAGGCAAAGATGCCCTTACAATCTGCATTCAGCATGCGCGATTCAGTATTTTTAACCCGAGATTAACGAAAGAACATTTTATATAGCAAGATTTGTAAATTCACTCAATTGGGTATAATTGGCCATCTCTATAGGATTCATTTTATGTCAAATCCGTCGTTTACTTGTCATCCCAAGACATCAGACCTTCCGAGGTCACAGTTCATAAATATAGATAAATTAAACTCAGCTTTTAAATGAACAAGTGTTCTATATTTTGTTACCTTTTCTTTTTATATCAGTCAACAGAAGTCAAGTCCAGCAACAACATGGAAACCGAGGGCCCCAAACGTTCCTTCGACCATCTCCAGGGCTGGGGGTTCTGCCCGCATGTGCTCGTCACGGACCGCCACTTTGGGGTGAACGCCCTGATGAAGAGCAACTACCCCAACACCAAGCACCGTTTCGATGCATGGCATGTTGCCAAAGGTAACATTATCTTACCAAACGGATTACGCAGTACAAGTGATGCTGAACTTAGTTTTTAGTTAGCTTGGTGCTGCCATTTGTTTTAGTCTGTTGAACATATATCTATATTGTCATTCAAAATGCATTGTTACTTTGCTTGCCATGCACACACCTTTTCTAATTTTAAGGCATCGGGAGCAAGCTGGCCCTCGCGGGGAAAACAAAGCGCAACAGCCTGCTAAACAAGTGGGTCAAGACTGTCCGGGCACACGTTTACTGGTGTGCCCAAACCAGTGATGACAATGGTGCACTGGTGCTGGCCAAGTGGATGTCCTTGATGCGCCATGTGGACAATGTGCACCAGCATCCCGACCCGCTCTACCCTGCTTGCACGCATGCCCAATCGTTGAAGAACGCTGGTGGCTTCATAAGGGTAATGTTGACATATACCAGGGAATTTACAGTGTGCATCATCCTTACCATTTAACCTGGTGCTGTTTCTAACTGCAGGAACTGAGCCGTACGACGCCCTCGAAAAGGTGGTAATGTCACGACAGCTGCTGAAGGACATCCCTAAGCTGTCTGGAGATGGCCAGACGTACCGGCTCGAGTCCTTTCACAGCCTGCTGCTACGATTTACCCCGAAGTCGAGCCACTTCAGTCTGGAGGGCATGGTGGCACGGTAGGTTGAGATTTTGAAGTATTCTAGGGCAACGAGGTTCCCTTTTATGTTTGTAGAATGGTGAAATATGCTAAGGACATATTCTGCCTATTTTGCGTGGCCTTCACAGGACTGCCATTGCTGTCCTTGATTACAACGCCAACTCGGACCGAAAGCATGCCACAACCAAGGATGGCAAGGACTGCTTTGTCCTGAAATTCCCCAAGGCGAGGAAAGGCGAGTGGGTCGTCAACCGAAAAATGGAGCCTGCGTCCTACGGTAAATGCAAACGTTTTTATTGACACAATGTATGAGACTTAATTCTTATCATTCTTGACCTAGACTACACCCAGAAGCTGTTCGGCTGCTTCCTGGAACTGGCAGAGGGAGTCCGGACCTACCAGGAGGCCCAGGCCACCTACGTTCCCCGCTCACGAGGGAAGTCTCTGTGCAGCGTTTCCCAGAGGCCAAACAAGGAAGCCGCCGTCCTGGCCCACAGGTCCAGGTTCTCGACTTAGCGGTATTGGAACCCTGTGTATGTGGCCGACGGAAACTGTTCCCTGATCCTTCCGACCACACAGCATGGGAGCCTGACACGTCGGCGACGGCCCAGCCTGCCCCAAATCCACCATACAAACTCCTTGTAGGCCGTGAACCTGTATTTTCTGAAAAAGGTACATGCCATGTAGCATTTCGGTAAAACTTGCTTTACCTGAACTATCAAGTTGAGACACTCACGAACCAGCACCCTTTCATTTCAATAACAACGAGCAAGACTAGTTTATTTTCCCCACAACTTGTGTCTTTGGGGTCTGTCAGTTGCTGCACTTCGGCAACTCAGTTTGCCACAAAGGGCTTCCGTCGGTTTGCTGCCCCCTTGACCCAGTACGTTGGCACTGTGGAGTCCGTCCAGAGCCGCGTGGAAGCACTTTTCAGGTGTAGAGCTCTCGTGATTTGTGGGA